TTCCCATCAAAGCAACACTCTTATTTAACTTGCTGATGGCTAGCTTTACAATTTTGTCCGGTGGGACATCCTGACACTCAAAGAAGTTCTACGGTATGGAGCCATTGGATGAACTAGTTCAGATCCAAGTGCCGTCAAAATGTGGCAAATCCACATTTACTTCGAATTTTGGCTTCTCAGATATTTCGGGTCGAGTCTTTAGGATAGAGGTTCTTTGTCCTTGACATCCGTATAGTGCAAGAGATTCACTCCATTCTTTTGATCTAGCAAATCACCGTTGTAGCTATGGGTGACCCTTCTAGATTGCCTCCTCTCGAAGGCGACAAACCTCTGTTGCCGTTGGAGGATTTCCCGCCGCACCTCCTCCATAGAAGGTTCCCAGGCATCCCTTTGTTGATTTCAAATAAACAACATCATAGCATTTTTTTCAGTTCTGGTCTTCGACAATTATCTTTTTGGTGGCGTGATTAGGATTTGTGGTGTAAGGATGGTTGGAGTGGAAAAGGAGGGGATAATTTCTTCTTGGGGGGTTTTGGAGGGGAGGTTGCGATATGTTTGGCTATGACAAATACTGAAAACCTTAGGATATGACTATGGTTAGGGTAGCTCATATGTCAAATGATACCGGAGTTAACCCAAATGACAATAGGTACAACAAACATTATTAGTGGAAAAACCAATAGGCGGTTACAAAAAACACTGAAAGGGAAATAAAATAACAAACACAACTAAAATGTATTCCAAGAGTGGTGGAGGTTGGATAGATGGGTTAAACTAGGAAGTTTGGGGTGTTGGAGGGTGGTGGATTCAACAGGTAAGGTTATTGGAGGGTGGATGAGGTGCGGTAAAGCTTGTGGGTGGCTGGAACAATAAAACTTCAAAGGGAAGGTATTACAGGCTACGGTGAGAAAGTGGAGGGCCGGAACAGTGAGGGAAGCGAAGTGGGTGACCGGGACAATGGTTGGGAAGGGGAAAACTGCAATAAAGCAACAAGGACAGTTGGTCTGGGGTGGTTGGAAGGCTGTTGGCTGCCGGGAATAGAAAGAGGGATGGCCGGTTGCTGATTCAGAAGGAGGACAATAGGGATTGTGGAAGGGAGGTGGCAGGAAGAACAAATGCGATGACTATCTAGAAGGCTGTAGCGAGGAAAGCGGCTTGGTAGCGAATTGAGGACTGCAGGGAAAGGAAGGGAAGCTTTGGGATTAATACTCCCTCCGGAGTGAGCTATAGACAAAGCACCACTCGGCCATTGGGAGAAGATCATCACCTCAATTGAGCTACAGTTGGAGCACCACTCGCCTTTGGATACAATCCTAGAAGGGATAAACTGGGATGTCGACTGCTGTCTTAAACAGAAACACGACAAATACCGGCTCTAGACACACACAAACAACATATAAGTACTATTAAGCAACGAAGGAGTGGCCCACTACTTTGACAAGCACTTTCAAAACCTAGGCAACAACCCGGTTCAAAGCTTTTACTGCAAGAGTTCAGCGCTGGTCCGGTGCTTCCCCACCTGCGTCTTGGTTCTGCGCATCCACACCCGTGTCCAGCACTTCTACACCCTCGTCTAGCGCTTCTACTCCCTCGTTAATAGGTCTAATGAATGTCCTAGAGCGAGTGTTGGAACTCAAATACAACATATTTGAAACTCGGTGCACCTCTAATGCAAAGTTTATGACCTTTTAGTGGAGATAGTGGGTGTATTGAAAATATCATCTCTTTAAATATTGTGAAGGCTTTATAATTACCCACCACAAAAAATACTCAATCTTATAAAATTAGTTAGGTTAAGAAGGGTATTGAAGTACCAGTTAATGAAATATACAAAATATCATTCTCTGTTTGAAAATAGTATAGTTATGATGTGTAACATGATATATTAGATATAGATGTATATCATGTTATCTTGGGCAAACCTTGACAATTTGATGAAGGGGTGTAGTATGATGGTCGAATGAATGTATATGTTCTTGATTGGAAGGGCTGATGAGGGAGATTAGTTCTAAGTAATATCAATTTGAAGAATATAAAATCCGACAGCTGTTTTCTTGATTGTTTCTAGGCCTGAACTCCCACAAGTGTTCAAATTTTTTGATCAGCTGTTTGTTTGTTTTTTGCTGTTAGAGCAAGAAAACGGACTAGAGAAGTCCCTCGTAGTAACCAATTGTTGTTGCGACAATTCAAAGATGTGACATCAGATGAATTGCCAAACAACCTACCATTGACGAGATCAATGAAGCTTTAGATTGACCTCATCCCATGTTCTACACTTCCGGATACCTCATTATAAATTAATTCATAAAGAACATCAAATTCTACAAGACATAAGTAATCTTCTTGAGAAGCAGTTCATTCGTCCGAGTTTAAGATCATTCATTGTGCCAAAACTTGTCACAAAAAAAGTACGAGAGGTCACAAATGTGTATTGATAGCTGATCTATCAACAAAATTACCACTAGATTCAATTTTTTTTATGCCTAGATTGAAAGAGTTCATGGATAAACTTTATGGATCCCAATTGTTCTTCAAATTTGCATTCAACCTGGAGATGAATGGAAAACACCATTCAACGCTTGAGAAGAACCCTTTGAATGGAGGATTATGTCGTTTGGAATTACGCAAAACACCAAACACTTTCTTGAGATTGATGAACAAGGTATTGAAGCTATTCTTAGGGTAGTTTTTGTGTGGTTTATTTCATTGATGTACTGGTTTATAGCTCAACCCTTGAATTATATTTAAACACTGTGCATTAGTATTTGGAAAGCTGAGAGAATAAAAGTTTTTTATTTCAATTTGGAGAAATGCGAATTTGTTGTCCACAACATCCACTTCCTAGGGTATATTATTACTCTCACGACCGACACAAGCATGATCTTAACAATCCAATTGTGCCCTATCCCTTAGTTTATCATTGAAGCCTGTAGTTTTCACTGTCTAGTAAATTTATATATAAGATTTATTGAAACTTTCAGTGCGCTTATGATTCCTGTAATGATTATTAAAAAAAAAATCTCTTGGCAAACTGATCAACATAATAGTTTTGAAACCATCAAAGAAGCGCTCTCTGGTGTTAATAGTACCTCACTTTGACAAACTATTTTAGGTTGAGGTTGATGCTTCAGCTATGAGAATAATGATAATTTTATAACAAGAGGGGATTGAATTCCTTTGTTAGAAATTAAGTGCGTAAAGATAGAAATGATCTACATATGAACAAGAACTGTATTTCATTATACAAACCTTAAAATATTGGCATCGCAATCTAATTCACCAAGAATTTATGCTTTATTGTGGTCATAAAACCCTAAAATTTGTACAGTGTTGGTAGACATTAAACCAGATGCATTGAGATGGGTCGTTTATTTGTAGGAATTCAGTTTTGTCTTCGATCATAAATCAGGGCTAAGCAATATAGTGGTGGATGCTCTTAGTTGAAGATCTAGTTTACTAGTGTCTATTCAAATTGTGATTACATCCATAGAATCCATTAAAGAGCAATATGATCAAGATGAAGATTTTGCTAAACTTTGGTAGAACTGAATTAGTAAGTCATCACTCGCAGACTACTTATTTGGTCAAAGATATTTGTTCAAGGATAATCAGTTCTGCATTTCTATTTCATGCTTGCACAGTCATCTCATCAAAGCCATGCTTGCCAGCGAGTTAGTTGCTCACGCTGGATGTGATAAGATGTTAGCATAACATGTTGCCGTTTCTTCTTGCTCAAACTTTGTAGAGATGTTTATCACTTCATAGAATATTGTGCTACATGTCAAACATGTAAATGGACTTCACAAAACAATGACTTTTATCCCCCTTTACCTATTCCATGCATAATTTGAGAAAACTTGAGTATTGATTTCGTCCTTTGTTTACCAAAGACGAAAAGGGGCTTTGACTCTACTATGGTGTTAGTGGATCAATTTTCTAAAATGTCGCATTTTATTCTGTTAAAAGAGGTTTGATGCACTTAATATTGCTTGGCCTTTTTCAGAGGCATTGTTTGCCTCTGAGCTGTCAGGGAGTTTGACGCCTGATCGAGACACCAAGTTAATGAGTTATTTTCGGAAAGAGTTATGGGAACTCTTAGATACAGATCTTCAAATGGCTCAACTTATCATCCCCAAACTAATGGAGAAACGGAAGTTGTAAACATGATTTTAAACAATATGGTGCGCTGCCTAGCCGGGGAGCAACCCAAATGATTAGATGAAGTTTTAAACCAAGCTGAATTCACATATAATTCCGTCACGAATAGATCGAATAGATGCTTCCCTTTCAGCATTGTTTATACTAAAGAGCCTAATTATATTGTAGATTTAGTAGTTCTTCCCTATCCGTGAAGTTAAACTGCTGAAAATCTAGTTGTCGATTTCACATCAATAATCTAAGCGTCAAATCCAAGCTTGTTAATAGTGCTACCAACTACGAACTCTAGGCTGATAAAAAATGGCATTATATAGAATTTAAGGTAGGAGATCTTTTTATCTTTTACCTCCAAGAAGAATGGTTTCCTATTAGCACATACTCGAAGCTCAAGCCCTGTAAGTTGGGGCCATTTGTTATAGTACGGAAGATCAATATAAATAACTATGCCGACTTGAACATATCCCCAACATTCAACATTGCTGATCTTTTCAAATACCATCGGCTAAATGCCGTCCTTACAACAAAAGTCGAGTCAAGTTCTTTTGAAGTGGAGGCGAATAATATTGTGTAATGGCTGCACCCTCATCAAATCTCAACCCTTTTCTAGTATTTGAGTCTATTATAGAGTTATAGAGATTAGCTATTAAACTCTGTTAGCTTAAGCTGTAATTTTGTTTTAGTATTTTGATTAATTGGGTAGAGGTTATATAGTTACTGCTTTGAGAGAGGAGGGACCATTAACTGTTTTTCCCTTTTTCAATACAGATCTCCAAAATGTTACAAATTACACAAACATACTTAAATTTCAATAAATTTACATGAAACTACACCATTTACCGCAGAGATCTGGGATGCACTAAGAGCTGCAGCAGAAGCTGATATCAACCTCGCTCAGGCAATAGTGGACAGCGCCGGCGTCATCCTCGCCCACGCCGATATGACGCTCGTTTATGATGAAAGAGGTAATAAGCAGATAAGAACTCCTCAAATATTCTACAGAAACATTTCCATTAATAGGAAGCTTTTAATTGCAGGTGCTAAGTATGAATTGCCCAAGTATGTTTTGAGCGAGCCTACTAATCTGATTCATGATAAGTCTCCTAATGGAGATGACTTGCATAAATAAGGCTCTACTAAATTATATTCTGTATATGATCTCTTCTTATTTCTATAAGTTTCTGCTGGAAAAAAAAAAAAAAAACTGGTGATTGTTAATTATGAAAATTACATATTTGCATCTGAAACAATTCAATGTTTGCATATTGAACAGTTAAAGCTATTATAAAAGGCATGGTTTTTGAGTGATGTGATTTCAGTAGCATTGCATGCTTTTCACTTTGAAGGTTCAAAAAATTGAATGGGGGGAGTTGAAAATGATATATTAAATATTAATATATCTTAAATATAATTAAGTAATGCAATGCTAATGCAAACATGTGACAAAAGTTAGGAAAAAAAACTAGTTTTTTAAATATAGAAATATCTAAAATGATTTATTTATTTATATTTAAATGACTTAGCTTTTGGTTTAAATGACTTGATGTTGAGAAATTAGGGCGAAGAAAAATAGGAATCGACACAAATCCAGAAGAACACTTAGATTTAATGAGGTTCGGCAAAGATGCCTACGTTTTCGGGAGCAGAGCGGCGACTTTTTCACTAATCCAGAAAAAGAGTACAAGATATAAAATAAAATAAACTAGTGTTATAAATAGATATATTTATAATCCTAGAAAGAGCAGAAAAGAAAACTTTGAGTACAATATGTAATTATCAAATTACTCATGTATCTAACCCTTAACCCACATAAAGAAACTCTCTTGATTTGAACAGAATCTTTTGCTCCGCTCCAGCATTATCCCTTATATGGTATATGAGCCATACCTAACTCTTGATTAAAAATAACAATGGTGATTTAATCTTAAATTTGCAAGCTTATTATGTTATTCATGAATCAAGGCAGTACATAATAAAAAAGAAAAAGAAAAAACTAAATATTAAATACAATAAAAATAATAAGAATTGAAATTTTTACAGAAAATAAGATATAATGATAATTAATTGTTTTTTAAAATATTGCATACAAAAAAGGTTAATCGGTATAACATAAATATTTAAAATCTAATACTTTATTATATTTTTTGATATTTTTTTAATTAAATTTAAATTTAATTTTTAAGGACGTGCGTTTCAATTTTACATTGATTCTTTCAGGGTCATTTACATTTATTCCACCTAATTCTTATGTATTTACATTGTTTTATTTAATTTAGCATGTATTTATTAAAATAAGTTATTTCCAATGTTGCACAACGTGCCAATAAACACATATTATCTTGAAAACTCACTCGTTTATAAATTAATTACTATATATATATATATATGCCTTGACTAGCATGAGCTTCTCGGGAGCCACTTATCGAGTCGAGTGCGAGTTAGCATACAAGCCGATTTGTCACAATTACAACTCTATCTAAAGTTAATGAGATTTAAATCAACACTTGTGACTACAGAGACATAAATATTGTTAGGATTTGAGAAATATGTAATTTATTGGTGTGGATTTAGATAAATAAGAGTTTTTTGTTGTCTTTTTCTATCTACTTTCTTTCATATATGTGTATAGAAAATGTGTCAGAATTGATTCCAACGAGAATTAACAGCCTAGAAGGAATAAAGTATGACACAAGAGAAACCATCAATAGAAAGATCATGATGCTCGTATATCAGATCAGATGGAGCCGTCTAAGCCAAAGCTGAAGGCTAACTGAGTCGAGAGAAGGACAAAAGGACGACCAATTGATTCGAATCCAAACTAAATGTACTAAAACAAAATAAATAAGTATCCAAGCAAACCACTATATGAAAGTCAACTGAAGCATGCAACCTATCTTCTGGTAGATATGTTCCGAGAAAAGAGTTAGTTCCTCAATATCACCAGTCATCCTATGGACGTCTTTGAGTCGTATCATTAAGGACCAAGAATTGACAATAGGATGGAGTCTTATTTCATACCAGAGGCTTTTCCTTGTTGAGAAACGAGGTGTCGATCAGATTACAACGATTCACCATATGTCGAATAATCTAGTCTGCTCTACCGACAAAAAGCTCATTTAGAGATCGAGGGTCGACAACCAGACTAGATTAACTAATCAACAAAGTCTAGTAGATTAAATTAGTCATGCCGACCCAAAATTAATCAAGCTCAGTGGATTGACAGCACTAACTCAGCCTAGCCGACCAAACAAGCCTCACCATGCTAATGTCAAATAAGTTTAGCCGACTGAGCCAGAGATTAGTCGAGCGATGGATTCATATATATAAAATACTTAAAATATCATGTATAGGCGCATTAAAATAGGGGCAGAAATGTAATGTCATTATATTGTATCCTCTCCAATATATATTTTATTTTTTAGCGACGGTTTGATAGCCCTTTAAGGTAGAGAGCAAACTCAATGCACATTTGTTGGCTTAAAGAATCATAAACCACCGTATTAAATAACGATTTAAAGTGCCGTTTAAAATGGCGGTTTAAATCGTAGTATATATTAAGTCTTTAGCGACAACACTTTTAGGATGCGTTTGGGGCAGCTTGTGCTTTTCAGGATAAACCTCGTGGTCGAACTAAGCAGCTTGCGTCTGGTGTAAAGCGGGTACCGCGTTTTTGGATAAGCGGGTAAAATGTATGATCCAAACGGTAATGCGACGTTTTCAAAAATGCCTCTGCACTTATAAGTTGCCCCAAATGAGCCCTTAAACGGCTAGAACGCCCTTTGTGGCGAAGAGCAAGTACAATGCTCATATGGCGGCTCATAAACCGCCATTTAAAATTGCCGTAGGTCTAAATAAATGTTGTGAAAATTAATTTTTTTTTTGTAATCATTTCAGGAAATAGACAAGATATATTATTGTTCCCTCTTTTTCTATCTCTTTATATGTATGTCTCTCCCACTCCTTTTCTTTTCATACGCTCCATTCTTTGGGGTGTGATTCACAGACTATTGAATTTGAAAATGTCCGTGAAACACAACTAAGAAATAGAGCGTCATAAAGAGAGAAGAGAGAGAAAGAGAAAGACAACAATGAAAAGTAAAAGCGCGTAACCTTTATTAAAAAATTGAGCTCCTATTTATAGACATAGGCTTGTGAGTTTTATAATTAGAAGTGTGTCATCAAATCATTAGTATCTGAGGGGGTTCTTTTAGTACATTACATATGTCAGATATATTAAATGACAGGTAGACTTATCCAAACAGTGAGGGTCCCGACGATCGGTGGATACACAATCGATTGTTTTCCCTTGATCCGTCTTGTCAGCTTTTAGCCAATCGTCACACCTTGGTCGACCGGTTGGCCTTGGGCCAATCGTTAGGCTTTTTAGTAGCTCAATCCTTAGACCTGGCTTCAAGGGGTTCTTTTTACCTTAGAGTTGTTGACCGATCGACAGATTCCTACGTTCGTGACAAATTAGGATCGACAATATATTTGTTGATGTTTATTTGTTTTATTATTATTATTTTAATATCTATTTGCTAATATATGGCAATTTTCGTAGCAATAAAAAATGATTCTTGAAGAATGGATGAACATGCCAACGCATTCTATTTAAATTACGTGCACTAACATTTGCATACTAAAATATGTCTTAAATTATGAAAAAAAGTTAATTTGTAAAAAGTTAAAAAAATATAAAATTTAACGATGAATAATATATATAAAATTATCATTTATATTAATTAACTATAATCAAACTCAATATACGTAGAAGAATGGCTAATTAGTATAAGATTATAAATCACCTAATAGGATTAATTACTCATCTGATTTATTATAAATTGACAACATTAATTAATAAAAAAATTAAGAAGATAAGAAGCAAGAAAGTGGGAGGTCCGGTGACCTCCTTGCTTTTTTTATCTAGCCATTATTTAATTTTAATTTTAATTTTTTCCTTTTATTTTTTGAGGCATTTATATTCATACAACGTACACAATTCTTATGTATTTGCATATGTAAGACCTAATTTTTTATATTTACATGCTTAACACTCTAATTTTTGACATCACAATATATATATATATATATATATATATATATATATCTATGTCTTTAAATTTTAAAAAA